TCCACTTGTGAAATAGAACGAAAGCATTTTCGCCCAGTATCTATAAATGGAGGCCGAAGGAAGTAGAAGATCCAGAGTGAGAGGATTCAAGTTTTAGACTCTGTCTTGAACATTTTATCAAGGTACCCAAGTCTGTGATGTTATAATCTGGACTATATTCTTGCTTGCAGGGATTCCTGGGATTGTCCCACAGGGAACATCATTTCACTACACAGGAAAGGATTCTTTCTTTTTTTTAAGATTTTATTTATTTATTCATGAGAGACAGAGGGAGAGAGAGAGAGAGAGAGAAGCAGAGGGAGAAGCAGGCTCCCAAGAAGCAGGGAGCCCGATGCGGGACTCGATCCCAGGACCCTGGGATCATGACCTGAGCCGAAGGCAGACGCTTAACCATCTGAGCCACCCAGGCGCCCCAACACAGCAAAGGATTCTTAAAGAACACCGAGAAAAATAAGTAAATGAAATGCTGCCGCACACATACTCCTAATTTTGAGTTTGCCACAAAACTGACATGAGGCTGTGTTCTTCCAACTAAGGGGCAAATAAGCCAAAAACATTTTGTTCAAGGTTCACTAAACTCTGAGATACATAAAGGGTAGAGATGAGGTGTGTAGAGGAAAATACATAAAGAACCTAGAAACGGGAGACATGCTGATTACAAAAGGAAACAGAAGGAAGGTGTACCTGGGGCTAAAGCAATGAAATGGAGAGAAAAATGTCTGAGTCTGTTTTTAATGAGAGGTGAGTCGCTTCCTCTAGCAGATCTAGAATGAAGACTGCACACAAACCAGGCAGGAATGAAATGATGGTTGTAGAGGGCACCAGGCAATGAAAGCACATTCAAGAAAGGGCTGATGCAACGTGGGAGAACCCAGTCTGATGCCGAGTCAGCAGAAGCATCACATGGCACTCCCTAATCTGGGGAAGGCAGAGATGGGCTGCACTTCAGCATGGCTCCTGACACTTCGGGAAGGACGTGTGGGGAGGGAGGATGTCGTATGTTTTGGAACAATCTACACATTCACAGATTACCTCAGCTGCCTGAAGGGAGTTATACAGGAAGCCAGGTACTTAGAGGCGAATTTTCTGTGATCCCTGTTGGTACTCAGAGCAGAGTGGACTTTGGGAACCAAGCCTGAGGAGAGAGAAGAAAAAGCTCTGGGGTTTTCCAATCCCTGATGAGTCTCTGCAGTTGTCCATTCACGGAAACCTAGAATTTTGTCTGAATTTGACAGGGTTTTCCTTATGTTTCAAATGTTACCCCTGGAAGATGCTTATATTCATCATCTTCAAAGATCTTGGATAGTAGTACCTTGAGTTTAATATATCCTTAATGAATAATTACGGAGTGAATGAATCAACCATGCTCCCAAATGAGGAATGTGTCTTACATTAATTAAAATAGGAGTCAATAACGTGCACAATATAGCCTATATTTTCTTTATTACTGCCATTTGGCAAATTGAGGACACGCTCTAGCAATTCAAATCGCCCTCTGAGGTAAGTTTAGTAGCTATCATGATAGATTTTGGCAGCTTTCTCCTGGGGTCCCCAAGGCTCACTAAACATTTTAGGAGGACACCGGACATTATCCTAGTGGCCAGTGAGATAACCCACCTCCAGGTGTGGGAGAGAGAGTGTGGTCCTGCCTGCTGTAGCCAGTGAATTCTGTACTGAGGTCTCGAATGGGTGCTGATGGCACGAAGGACCAAGGGCATGCAGCCTGGATCCTTTTTACTTGGTTCCAACTCCAGTTTTTTATTCCAGAGGAGACAGAAAACTTTTACACTGCTGTATATGCTAGGGAAAAACTAAAACTCAAGCGGAAGCAGAAACTGGGTACAGGCTGGGGGAGACTGAGAACCAAGTAGCCCGGCTGGAGCTTAGCTGAAGGGGGGCTATTTGACCTTGGCGTAGTTAGGCAACTCACTCGTTACTTGGTAATGCCAAGAGCCTCAGGATCACAGGCAGCGGACACTGAATAGAAAGGGCAGTATTCTCCTAACTCAGCGTGGACGCTGGAGTACAGGTCTTGCAGAAGGGGGACTGGAAGCTTTGGGGATCTGCACTGACCAACGTTTCCAATTGTTCCCTCCCTCGCACAGTACCCGCCTTGATCTTCCCCAACTCCAGCCCATCAGGTCACCTGTTTTGGTTGCTCTGGAGCTCACTGGTATAACTATACATGCCAAGTCATGTTTTCAGAATGGGCTTTTAATTCTGCTGAAAAACATTTTTACACAGCCCCTTCTTGTTTTCATTTCCATTTGCATTTTTCTTCTCTTTCCCAGGGGACAAGCTCCTCTTCACAGATGAGAACCATCCAGCAGCCTCCATCGGTAGAGCACCTTCATGTGTATACGTTGTGCAAACCTTATCTTTAGTAATCTCAATAACCCATAAAAGCTACGTATTGTTATCCTCACTTTCTACAGACAAGAATTCAGTGAGGTCACTCAGCATGTGTTCTGGCTACTCTGTCAGGCTGCTTCTCAATATAGAGTGCTCTACCGTTTAGAACATGCTTTCATGTACATTTTTTAAAAATTTTTATTTATTTATTTGACAGCGAGAGAGGGAACACAAGCAAGGGGAGTGGGAGAGGGAGAAGCAGGCTTCTCACCGAGCAGGGAGCCTGATGCAGGGCTCGATCCCAGGACCCCGGGATCATGACCTGAGCCGAAGGCAGACGCTTAACGACTGAGCCACCGAGGCGCCCCCGCTTTCACGTACACTATAGAGTTCTCCAAACTAGGAATTAAATGTTATTATTGCTTCTGTTTTACAGAAGATAACACAGAAATGTAGACAGGCTCTGTGACCTGCCCATGTTGGTTATTCCAGCTGAGCTAGGAAGCAAACTTGCGTCCTCCTGTTTGACACCTCATGCTTATCTAACTGTATAGAAAGAAATGGAAGCTCCCAGACATAAACTTCCTCGAATTTCGTTACATTTCACTTCATATTCTTTTTTTTTCTTTTTACCCCTCTTCTCCTATCTCAGGGAGAAGTTGATTCTATTCTATGTTCTTTTTTTTTTTTAAGATTTTAAAAATTTATTTGAGAGAGTGAGCGAGTGAGATTGAGAGAGAGCGAGAGCGAGAGAGGGAGCACAAGCAGGGGGAGCGGCAGGCAGAGGGAGAGGGAGAAGCAGGCTCCCCACTGAGCAGGGGGAGCCCGATGTGGGGCTCGATCCCAGGACTCTGGGATCATGACCTGAGCCGAAGGCAGACGCTTAACCAACTGAGCCACCCAGGCGCCCCTCTATTCTATGTTCTTAAAAGTTCTCTCAATTGTTCATGAATAGCCTTATCTTGTTCCATTTCTTCACTTTCAAGTCTTAAATCTTTCTCTCACCTCAACTGCTGTTTCTAATCACCGAGTAAGGGCACATTTTCTTAACAACATACTGTATATATTCCATATACTGTTCTCCCACTCCTCAAACTCTCTGCAACTCATTATGTCTGTTCTGTTTTTCTGAGCACTCCAACGAGCTTCCTTATCTCCATACTTCTGCTCATATTGATTTGAAATGTTGTCCTCTCTACTTGCAGAAATTCTATTCATTCTTCAAGAATGAGCTCAAATGTTGTACCTGCTATGAATATTTCCCCAATTACTCCAATCAGATTTAATGGTATATTCTCTGTGTTCCAAAGTACTTTGCTGACAAGGAAAACACATCACTTATCACATGAGAAAATTATTTGTCTTCATCTCTGTTTCAGCTTATGGGTGTCAGCACAATGGAGACAAGAAGAGAATTTTATTTATCTCTACACACCTTGAAGCAATAAGCATGACCCTTGACTAAACGTTTGTTGAATGGAAGTATGGATGGATGGATGAATAGTGATTCAGTTACTACTCCAATTTTTCAACATGCCTCAAGGGGGGCATGATCTGATTTCAGGCTTTTTTCCCCTCATTTTAAATCTCCATTATTATCCTGAGCACTTGTCTTCTCTGCTTTGTGAAATTTTGGGTTTTACATTAAAAAAGAAATGACCGCTGTAATGAAGTCATGGAAAAGGAAAGGGAATGATAGATCATTTTTCTTGTAAAAGTAAATATACTTCTGTCATCCAGGTGATCAATGTTGCAAATAAGCATCCAAAAAAATTAAAAAATTATATTTGTAAGTTTAAAAAGTAAGGTGATAGGAATTTATCTTCTATTAATAAATGCTATATTCACATATAATGCAATAGTAAACTTCATTAGATTGGAATAATGAGTTTGGGGAGGTAGGGAGGAAAAGGGAGAAGCTAGCTTGAATTATGGAAGTCAGAATTTATTGAAAGCAATGCAGTTTTATTACTTTCAATACTATAACCTGCCAATAAAGTCTGTCTAAGGAGACATCTACTTAATGACATGGATCCTTACTTTATAGTTGAATCTTTTTGCCTAAAGACCACTGTATACGCAAAAGCCATGAAAACAGTTATTCTCTTTAAATAAGTTAGAGGTGTTCCCTTTATTTCTCTTATCAAATTCATTTCTTGCAGACAGTTTAAAGGTAAATTTCACCTTAGTCTGGGTCAAATGGTCAAAAACTGTGTATTAGCAATATCGGAATTAATGAGGTTTTATTATATTCATAAAGGAATGCATTTCTGGGAAATACAGTCCAATGTCCCAGGGAAGTGTAAGATGCTTTAAAAATAAAAACAGGGAAAATGTAAACTTTTTCAAATAAGATGAACATTAATTATTCATTAAGCTAGATAAAACTGAAATCTATCTTCAAAGTCTTTGGTTTCCTTTGTAAATTCCTTGGGGCAAGGATGATGGTTTGCTTGCTTCTCTTCCCTACCTTCCAGGACCATACACCCCAACAATGGCACCTCGGCTTTGCTTTCTGGTGACAGTTATAAATTATGACTCTAAGAACAGGTGTTTAAAAGTGACACGATGGGGTTTTCAGATATTCTGGTTGTTGCTCTGCTTATCTATAGTTACCCGAGATTCAAACATAAGTAAAGTTGACTCACTGATTCTGGGTACAGGCTGCAGGTAATTTACTGGATCCCATCCTGGAAAAGAAGAGAAAGGGGATTCATATATGACCATTATCTCCAAATATATTTAAAATCTTTCTACATAAAGATGTCTCAATGCCTCTAGTATTTTATTTCTAGCAAAGAAAATCATGAAGTGTGGGGGCGAAGGGTCATGGAATAGAATATTTCACCCCTGCGTTTCTGGGCAACTGAAAAGGTGACAGGCTTGGTGTCACTTATCAGGAAACAGGGCATTACCCTCAGACTTTGCCACAGAAAAGATTGAGTCTTGTGCCTGTTTCCCCTGCTTCAGCGAAATGGAGCTGGAGACTGGGGCGGGGGGGTAGGTGGAGCTGGACTATGTCCACTGAAGGGAAGAAAATTTCCTGGATTCTTTGCATTCTACTTCATTATGTGTCGGTATGCTAATATCCAATTATATTTCCTGCTTAGAATTTTTGTGTAAATCTTTGTTTATATCCAATTATATTTTCCGCTTAGATTCTTTGAGTCCTTGGGACAGACCTCTTTGAACAAAATTGATATTCGGAATAGATACGCGATGTGCATCTTCTGGCGTGGAGTAACCATGGCTCACTGTTGGACACCTTGATCCGTGAAGCTTGGAAGAGTAAATGAACTAAAATCTAGGATGAAAGATAAAAGGCTCTTTGAGGGAAGTGATCCCATGGATATTAAATCATCCAGAACTAATGTTCGTTTATTCTGTAGTAAAGAGCCCTGAGAAAGAAACCTTTGAGTTTTCCTTGAGCCAATGATTCTTCATTCTGATAATCAAGAAGGATCTCTTTCTGCCAGATGAAGTTGCTAAATGTAACATAATAAATTCCTTCTGGCTTAGTCATCTATGGGGAGAGGAGAGCCTCAACTGATTCGGAAAACAATTCCAGGGAGCTGCAAGATGCAACCTGTATGACTCTTTAGATTTCCGCTTTCTAGATTACATAGTTCCAATTCTTCCCTTAAATAACACATTACACATATATAATATATGATACATATTATATACTGTATGCCATATCACATTTTTATATAATATATAATTTTGATATGTTATATAATATATAATTTTACGTAAATATTAAATAATATATTACATGCCAAACCATGTATTTATATATTATATATATTACATGCCAAACTATATATTAATATATATCCTATATTAAATACATGTATACGTAATGTTTTGCTCTCTGTATGCTGTCTTTTTAAAAATATCCCTTTCAAAGTATGTTGATAAAAACTTGAGCAAGTACTTAAAAATGGTGAGGCTTAAGCAATGAAAGGAGTAATTCTGTTTCTATCCTGTGCCTTTTAAATAACCTGCTATCAGTGTAACTCATTTATGATATTCATTTTCTAATCTTAATTGTGACAAAAGTCCTATTGGCATTGCCTTTTTAACCAGTCCTTCACTAAATTTCATTTGTGCTAAAATATACAGTTTATACATATGTCAATTAAATGCAGTTCTGCCTTTAGAATGACTTAAAAAATATATCCAAGGGCATTCTAATTGTTTTGTCATGAGTTTCCTGGTATAAAGTATCAGTAGCTCCACTTGATTTAGAGATTTCTGCATTTTGGATGAACTCATTTATAAGTCATTTGTATAGTTCATCAATAAGTTATAGGTCCTACAGTACAACTGATCCCCATGGGCTGGAACTTGATATGTAATCCATGCTTCAACCCATTTTGATGTAATTGCAACTCTATATTTACTTGTTCACCCATGTAACAGTAGCATGATTAAGATCACACTTTCATGGCTTGGTGATAAGAATGTCTTCCCCATACAAAACTGATTTTACTCAGTACATTCTCATTGTTTATATAATCTGTTACATAACCATGGGAGGAAACTAAATTGATGTGGAAAAAATGGCTATTCAAAAAGTCAAATGTGGCTGCTCCTTTATCTCTCATGATATTCTGTTAAGTTGCTTATTGATTGCATGAGGAACTGTTCTCATTGGGTATTGCTTTTAAGCTCTGGCTTATAATGATCAAGTCATTTCCTTAAAAAAATGTGAACACAGCAGGCTCTTTTCCCCATCTCCTCGATCACTCAAATATAAAGGCTGTGCAAGGTCATCTGCTAATTTCTTTTATTCCTTTTTTATGTATTGTGGTAAAAAACAGACAACAGGAGATGTATCCTCTTAACACATTTTAAAATATACAGTTCAGTATTGTTGACTCTAACGCACAATGTAGTATACCAGATGTCTAGAACTTGTTCATCCCACATGACTGAAACTCTATACCCATCGAACACTAACTCCCGGTTCCCTTCTCCCTTCCTCAGCCCCAGGAAACCGCAGTATGCCAATTTCTTAAGGGTCTCAGGAAACCTGACCTTAGGGCATAATAATGAGGTACAGTCAGGGATTGGATACTCTTCCCTGGTCTAGTTTGGCTCTCCACACATCACAGACTGAAGTATAGTAGGTGAATGCATGTCTCTGACACTTTACAGTAAATTTGCTTAACACAGGAAGGATCCAGTCTTACTAATCCTCTTTATAACTTCCCTGAACCTAGCTTTGTGTCATGTATAAATATGTATTGAATTAAGTTAAATTATAAAATTTTTTTCAGGTAAAAAAATTTTTTTTAAGATTTTTATTTATTTGACAGAGAGAGAGAGAGAGAGAGAGAGCACAAGCAGGGAGGAGTGGCAGAGGCAGAGGGAGAAGCAGCCTGATGCTGTGATGCAGGGCTCGATCCCAGGACCTTGGGATCATGGCCTGGGCCAAAGGCAAATGCTTAACTGACTGAGCCACCCAGGTGCTCCTAAAAATTTCTTCTCTGATAAAAAGGATGAAAAGTAAATACTGCTTATTTTATTTTAAGTTATTAACTTATTTTAAGTTAATGAATTGTCTCATAAAGAAAAGCATCCTCTCTCACTGCTCAATAATAGTAATAGTGTGCAGAGCTCTGAAAGGCTTTGACTATATCTTCTAAATCACTGCTATTCCTATACATATTTTTAATGTAATGACTACCTCAGATGTTGGGCTCAGTCCATACAATCAATATAGACTGACTTCCTTGCTACATGATCATATATGAAATAACTATGGATATTCTTCCATAGTCAGCTGTGAAGATGACTTTAAATGTCAGCATTCAGGCTTGTTTCACATAGCAGAAATTAATTGGGTTTTGGTCACAGCCCTTAAAATTAAAAAGGGATTAAACCTCACATTCAGTGTACATGTTCTTATATTGTGCTTATAAGATTGATTACGATATTAAAGGCTTAATTTAGTGGTACAGGCAATCTAATGAAACAGGATCTTTCCCGTCACCCCATGACTTTCTTCTTTTTAAAAAATTTTTTATTGTTATGTTAATCACCATACATTACATCATTAGTTTTGGATGTAGTGTTCCATGATTCATTGTTTGTGCATAACACCCAGTGCTCCATGCAGAATGTGCCCTCTTTAATACCCATCACCAGGCTAATCCATCCCCCCCCCCCAGAACCCTCAGTTTGTTTTTCAGAGTCCATCGTCTCTCATGGTTCGCCCATGACTTTCTTCTGAATCATTTTTGGTTTTGGTAGTAAAGCACGTTTCACCTGTTGAAACTTGGCATAAGCACCATACTCAGCGACTAGGCCTAGAGCTTTGATGGGAAATCAATTAAAAAAAAATAGCATTTCACCGATCCTTTTCCTCAGGGTTTGAGAGCTCCATGCATTATAAATAGCACACTGAGCCAAACAGGGCTCACACTCAAGTGAGAGAACACAAATATGACCACAATGCACTTTTCTCAAAGTAATTCCTCTGGCCACAGTGAGAAAACTAATCGTGTTGTTTACCATCATCCTTGCCTAACAGAGAATACAAAGATAGGAGAAGCCTGGACAGCTTCCTAAGACTGTGTGGCAATTTGTTGTTAAAACCGAAATAGGGTTACCTTTCATGAATGAATCAGGTTTTTCTCCCCTTCAGCTCAACCTTTCAGAAATGCGATTATCGATACCCTCCATTTTATATACCGGTATTCTGATACAAAAGTGATCACAGTGAAGCTCAGGTTCTTTGCTGTCTAACATTTTATTGCTGGATTTGAGTTTATCACAATATTTTTTAATTTTATTTTATTATGTTATGTTAATCACCATACATTACATCATTAGTTTTTGATGTAGTGTTCCATGATTCATTGTTTGCGTATAACACCCAGTGCTCCATTCAATACGTGCCCTCTTTAATACCCATCACCAGGCTAACCCATCCCCCCGCCCCCCTCCCCTCTAGAAACCTCAGTTTGTATCTCAGAGTCCATAGCCTCTCATGGTTCTTCTCCCCATCCGATTTCCCCCCCTTCATTTTTCCCTTCCTACTATCTTCTTTTTTTTTTTTTGACATGTAATGTATTATTTGTTTCAGAGGTACAGGTCTGCGATTCATCAGTCTTACACAATTCACGGTGCTCACCATAGCACATACCCTCCCCAGTGTCTATCACCCAGCCACCCCATCCCTCCCACCCCCCACAACTCCAGCAACCCTCAGTTAGTTTACTGAGATTAAGAATTCCTCATATCAGTGAGATCATATGATACATGTCTTTCTCTGATTGACTTATTTCGCTTAGCATAATACCCTCTAGTTCCATCCACATCATTGCAAATGGCAAAAATCTCGTTCCTTTTAATGGCTGCATAATATTCCATTGTATATATATACCACATCTTTATCCATTCATCTCCTGATGGACATGTAGGCTCTTTCCATAGTTTGGTTATTGTGGACATTGCTGCTATAAACATTGGGGTGCAGGTGCCCCTTCGGATCACTACATTTGTATCTTTGGGGTATATACCCAGTAGTGCAATTGCTGGGTCATATGGTAGCTCTATTTTCAAATTTTTGAGGAACCTCCATACTGTTTTCCAGAGCGGCTGCACCAGCTTGCATTCCCACCAACAGTGTAGGAGGGTTCCCCTTTCTCCGCATCCCCGCCAACATCTGTCGTTTCCT